CTAGAAACATGATTTAGTCACCATTCGACGCGTCTCGCTGAGACGATTCGAATGGTGGTGGTTTCATCCTTTTATGATCACTGGATGACGAGATATTCCGCTTAAACGCTTTTTTTGGAGTTTCGGAGTTTCAGCGTTTTGACATGCAACTCTACAAGTGGGAAGAGTGATTGTCATTATTTATTGGTTTGGAAATGGCCGGTCTTTATATTATTTTATGAAGATTTTTGTCAGATTAATAGGTTTATTCAATATAAAATTCATTTATTATATGAAGACCGGTATGAGGACTGGTCGGTCCTCAGGACCGGTCCTACTGCGCCACAAAAAAATGCAAGACCGTGGTCCGGTCCTACAAGTCCTGGGACCGACCGGTCCAGGACCGAGTAGGACTGGTAGGACCGATGACCATCCTTAAGTAGCCCCGATAAGATTGGAAAATTTGCTGATGGCTGTAAACTTTACCCCCCTAATAACCATTATTAGCATGATAATGATATTGAATATATTAACAAATTGAGAAATACTTGAGAAACAAAAGCTCCTATGATGCCAAAGATATTGCAAAAGCTTTAGTTGATGAAATAAAGACATACCATTTAGCTAAAGTTAAATCTAGATTTGTGAAACTTAATAAAGATATAATTTTGATCAAGATAAGGATTATATTATTCATTTCATAAATTTTGCTTCAATTGATATTAATGAAATAGATGAAATAGATTGGAATAAGATGAATTTGCAAAGCATGGCATAACTCATGATTATCATAAGAAAGTCAAATACCATTTTATTACTCCCAAAAATTTTAAGACGTATTAAAAGATGGGATTTTATTTTGGGTTTATAATGAATAGCTTAACATATACACGTTGTACAGATTTAAAACTATATTTTCTAATATTGAATTGTATAAAATGGAGCCTGTTATAGTTGATCAGCCCATACTTTCATGGAATGATGATATTATTAAAAGATTTATTAATAATGATCATAAATACGAGTGTTTCATGAATAAATCTTTAAAGAATGATCAATTATTGGAGTAAATGGCACACTGGCCAGTATAATAGATCAGAAAGAGAAGAATAGGAAGAAGTTTATAGCAGTATCCAAAAGGTGCTGTTACCTGTGTGAATTGTATATTGATTTTGCACGAAGTAAAGGATATAATATTATTGTTTCTGAAAACATAAGAAAATATAATAAATGGAACCTTCCACATGTTGCAGATAACAACTTTAAGATTTAATCGCTAAATTATATACTAACAAATCTTGATCAAAAGATATAAACGTATAAAGCAAAACTTTGTTTTTTAAATGAATTTTTATTAATATAGAGTACTGGCTAAATTAATAAAAAATATTGGAAGAATGATAAAAGAGAAGAATCATTGCAAGCCCTAACTCACATGTATTGATCTAGAACTTAAAATAAATATTTAATATTTTTTTCAAAACATGATGTTTTCTTGTAAATGCTAGGATTATGTTTATATTATTATAATTTTTACCTTTGATATATAATCTAACAAAAATATAATTGCAATAATCTTAATTATAAATTATATATATATAGAGGCAAAGTTATTTATTCTTTTTTATTTGAGTATGACATTACTTATGAATTCAAAGTGTCACAGTTCTTGGGGACATTAAATTATGCTTTTTTTGGAATTTCTTTAATTTGATAATACAGCTTTTTACAACCAATTTTTACTTTGCTAAATATTGATGAAAGACAATAAAAAAGATAAAAATGCATACAATAATACTGACAAAGCTAATATAAATAATTTTATTCTAACTATGTAAAAACTTTTTTCATTATTTTTTTTACAATCATTAACTAATTTTAACATAATATCATATCATACATTTTCCTATCATATGACTATCAGACTATATATATGTATATATATATATGAGATTATTATAAATCACATATTGATAATCATTTTTTATGAACAATCCTTTAGACATTATGACAAAAAAAAAGAAATCCAAATTAGCCCAGTGTTCTTCAAAAGTAGAAACAGATTCATCAGTCATAGCTGGCAGTATCTATGAACAAAAATGCAAACATATTCAAATACTTCATTATATTCACTTTATTAATATCTCTGATAAGCATGATATTCACTTTACTGGCAACTTTTGTTATCAATTTACTAATGACTCTTTACATATGAATAATGCTACTTCAACATCATTAATTATGCTTTTCTGTTTAATCAAAGGTGAGAAGCCTGATAAAGCCTTTAAAGTTATTATTAATAAGGATAAAGATGTCAGCGATCTCAAAAAGGTTATCAAGGATGAAATTCCTGATGATTTTGCTGGTATTGATGCTAAGAACCTTACATTATGGAAAGTAAATGTCTCTGCTAATGATAAATCAAAGTTTGAGAGACTAGAAACTTTTATACCATATAATTCTGCTGTTGAAGAAGTGTTACTTGGTGAGAAAATAGAAAATGCAACAGAAGAAGTTGGAAAGATCTTTAATTATTCACTTGAAAAGGAATGTATTCATATTATCATTGAACCACCTGCTGCTACTGGTAAGTTTTTATGAAATTATTTCATAGCTTATGCTGTTCTCATTACTACATTAATTCTTATCATTTATGTTATAATTTTGCTACCAGAAGGCACCAAAGTTGAAGAAGATGTAAATTTCATTAATAAGGAAGATGTATCTAAAGGCATTGCTAATGATAGACCCACCCAAAATTGTGAAAAACAAGGTTTTGTTACAAGATATTATAGTATTCCATCACAAACATCACAAACAGTAAAGATTGATTATAGTAGTAATATAACAAGTAAAAAGAGGTATCAAAAAAATGAAGGGAACAAAAAAATCGCAAAAAGAAAAATAGTATAAAATGTTTTAAGTTAGGATCAATCATAGAAAATATCATTGTGCATTAAACTATGTATAATGGCAATAAAGCTTCTTATGCTTATGCTTCACAAATAGTAATATTGATGTAATTTTAGTTAAGATATTATAAGATAACTTGATTCTGATTTTTGAAACTTTTAAGATTTATTATCATGATTAAATAATTCTTATTTCATCGAAATTTTTTAAGTTCTTTAACCGACATGTTATTTACATATAATTTTAGGATTTAAAAGGGCACACAAAACTGATCATTATTATAAAACTTCATTCTAATATAATTTTTTCATATTTAAATGTTCTAAATCAGTTTTAAATTACCCATCACCATGTAATATACATCATAAATCTAATCATTATATCTCAGCTAAAAACATTATGACACAAATCTATCTTACATATGACATAATAATTGCAGCTTGAAATTGCTATACAAGTAATATAAGATCATAACTATTTGATACTAATTATTACTTCAATGTATGACCAATTAATTTATGATTAACGTGGAGGAAGTTAAGCACGTATGTAATTGCTAAACTAACCGCAAATAGTAGTGATAGTCTCATTGAATCACTATATAAACTTCAAGTTTCAGCCTGCAAACTTAAAATCAAATAAACATGTCTCAACTTTTTGATGATTGCCTTAACGAAATTTTCGAATATTTAGGAGATGATATAACTAGTTTACATTCATGCTTATTAGTTAATCGTCTTTGGTGTAAAGTTTCCGTGAGAATTTTATGGAGAAATAGTTGGAATTATAGTGATTCGACCTTTGATACTTTAATTGCTTGTCTTCCAAGCAAGTCAAAAGAAATTTTGTATAAGAATAAAATTATTATTTTAACTCCAATTTCAAAGCCTCCAATGTTTAATTATACAGCGTTTTGTAAAGTTTTATCAATTGAATATGTTCATTATACATTTCTTTTAAGACCTAAACTTTTAACTTCATGCAATAATGTGTGTATATTATCAGAGGAATTATTTAAAATGTTTATGGAACAAATTACTTCTTTAAAAGAATTATATTTTTTTGATTTTTCGAATATAACTTTAACTTCATATTCTGGAGCGAAAGATTGTTTGAGGAATCTTTCAGAATTACATTGTTCAAATGTTTTTCCTGATTTTTTTTATCAATTATCAAAAATTTGTCATAATATATCATCATTAAATATAATATTTAAAGAAACTACAATGAATGGATTAACAGATTTAATTTCTGTTCAACAAAATTTGAAATATTTAAGTATAACAAAATTTTATAATGGTGACAATCTGTCATATATAATTCCTTCTTTAACAGAAAATCTTTCTGATAGTACTTTAATCAAATTACGTTTTAATAAAGATACTCCATTATTATTTATTACCAATTTCAAAAATTTACAAGAACTCGAATTCTCAGTAAATAATTTTAATGATTTAAAAGATTATGAAAAATTAGAAAATTTTAATTTTCCACAATTGCAAATTTTAAAAATTCCATATCCATATAAGTTTTTAATAAAATTTTTAGAAATTAATGGAAAACATTTAAAAGAAATTTATATTAGTGATAGTAAAGGTTATAATGATAATTCAATAAATTTATCCATAGCTAATTTTTGTACAAAAATTAGAAAACTTTCTACTGGATTTAAATATAATGAATTAGATACATTAAAATTGGTTTTTAATAATTGTCAGTGTCTAGAAAGTATTAAACTTTGGTGTGGAAGTAGACATTTAAGTGAAAAGGAAGCATTGAAAATGGTTATGAAATTTTCACATGATAATTTATGTGAAATTATATTATCTTATGAGTCTGATGTACGATCAAGTTTACTTCCAGAAGAGTTTGAATCCTTTTTAATATATTGGAAAAATTGTGTATCCCGAAAATCGCTATCATTAATCATTGTTAATCTTGATTACAAAAGTTTAGATAAAAATGTTGAAAACACGAAATTAATTGATAAATATATTAAATTGGGTGTTATTAAAAAATTTAAAGTTACAAATTTCGAGGATGCTGAATTTAGTCATAATTATTATAATAAAGTTCAACAAATATTATGTCGATAGATTAATTAGACAAATGATTTAAAAGATTTGACAGTATATGCTATTAGTTCAAACTATTTTGCTAATTAAATTCGATTTATAATATTTTATAATATTATTATTTTTATTTTGCATAAACAAGTTTGTAATCGATTATAAACTTTTAAAAAATATTTCGATTAATTGTTGATATGTAATAATTATTATTTACTAAATGGAAATCAGAAAATACAAGAAAAAAATGGTATGTCAAAATAATTACACATTTTATATTTTTATATATTTGACTACTTAGAATATATTCAGAGAAATGGGTTGATCATCTGACCATTTTTCATATTGACCAAAATGCAAAATTCCAAATGATCGAATCCTTTGTCATTTGGTCATTATTAATGTGTTCTTTAAAATAGTATATTTTATCTTAAAACTTTTCTTTTTTTAATAATATAAAAAATAAACCAAGGAACATACTTGTTTGATAGCCTTAAAACGCCTTGTTAAATTCATAAAGTTTATTGATTTTGCAATTTTGAATTTTTCATTAAATGTAAAAGATGTATCTTTATTGCATTAATTTATTTCTAATAATAATTTTATATTGATCTATTATGAAATACATGCCCGTTTTAAAACAAAAAAAAATCTAACGACTTAATACAAAATATTAAATTGCCATTTCAAATTATTTGCCGAATAATGAGTTTGTCCTAACCGGCTATGTTAGCAGATATCTGGTATCAGGTTAAAGATTTTTTTGACTCAACGTTATCTAATAAAATTAATCGTAATTCCAGCAGAAACGGTATGATGCTATCACTAAAATTAGAATTTACCTTTATTACTAACCCGTATCTATAAAAAAACTATAATAAAATTTTTCGAAACTTACATGAGAATCCAGTATCCAAACCATAGCCGGAGTCCTACAAAATAAATTTTTTTTTTTAAATAAAAGTTTTCGAAACGAACACTGTAAAAAATGCAGATCACTTGCTTTTCAGGGTACAAGCCAATGTTAAGCATCCGTCAAAAATGACTGATTGAGCCAGAGCTTACAAAAAAAAATTTTTGGTGGGTTATCCGCATATGATTTTTAACGGTAACGGATTTTTTTAATCCGGACACTAACCAGATACAATTTACGGTTACCAAACATCTGAGTTAATAAGGAAAGTGTGACACGCGTAATGTAAGTCGTATGACCGGTACTGCGGTATGATCGGCAATTGTAATTTACACTACATTTTACGGAAATGAAAACACGGATCAACATTTAAGATTTGTGAAATATGAGGGAGATAAACAAATTAAACTTTGAATTACCGTAAATACAGTAAATGACGATTATTTGTCCTTTTTGCCCAATTAAACATCGAAACATTTTTAAATTTTTCTTTAAGGACTAAACAACGGGTAAACAACGGGTAAACAACGGTAATTAAGTCGCCGAAAACCGTGATTTTCATTTATAAATTTATAACCAAATTTCTCAAAAAAAAAAAAAAAAAAAAAAAAAAAAAAACGAAAAAAATGATTAATTTATCTTCTCTAGTTGGCTTTTTTGTGTTAGGACTTATAGGATGGGTTACTTATAAATTAATTATTTGGCCATTTTATATTTCCCCTTTGAGAAAAATTCCTGGTCCACCATCTGAAAATATATTTCTTGGAAATTTTAAATCATTTTTTAAGGAAGAGGTATATTATTTATATTTTAATTAGTATTTTATCTACTCCTCATATACTATCTTTTATTTATATGCATCATGCATATCTTTTATAGGAACCACATGTCAAGTGGATGCAACAATATGGGAATATTGTAAAATTCTATGGAATATTTAATCGCCCAGATGTTTTCGTCTCAGATACAAAAATAATCCAAGATATCACATTAAATCATGTTTACGACTTTGTTAAACCTCATGATATGTCGGCTGATTTTGCTAAAATTGTTGGTAGAGGTCTTGTACTTGCGGAAGGTGAAGAACATAAAAGACAAAGAAAAATGATGAATCCAGCTTTCACTCACAATAACATCAAAGTAATTATATTTCATTGGTAGAAAATGAAATTAATAATCAAACTAATTTAATAAATCGTATTTTTTTTCAATTCAGGAAATGGTTCCAACATTCATTCGAGTGGTTTCCACCTTAAAAGAGTTAATAGAAGATAAAATAAAAGAAGATTCTAACATTAATCTTACACCTTATATCTCAAAAACTACCTTAGATGTTATTGGCTCAGTCGGTAAGAAAAATATGAATTTTGTTGAAGTGGTTACAATTATGACGACGTCGGAGTTTTTACATATGATTTTTTTATGGTTATGGCATTAAGCAATTACGTATATAATTTTTCAGCCGTGTCGTAACCATAACATATTAAAAGTGCCCATATTTATAAGCGTTTAATAATTTCATTTGTTTATTTATTGTTTATTTAGGATTTAATTACGAATTTAATTCATTAACATCTTCAAACGATTTGGCGGATGCTTATGCTTCTCTTTTTAATAATAAAACGAATCCTGTCTTACGTATTTTCGTCAGTATATTATCGAGTTATATCCCGCTTGTTAGAAAAATTCCAATAGATGAAAATAGAAAATTTAACAATGCGTGTTCGGTTATTCACCGGGTGTCAAAGAAATTGATGGAAGAAAAATATAACGAAGCGAAAAAAGGAGAATTGAAAAGCAAGGATCTATTATCTTTGTTAATCAATATTAATAAAACATTACCTGCTGAAGAGAAAATGACTGATGAAGTATTACAATATCAGGTAATTAAAATACTGCTAAATTATTTGTATTATTTCATTTTTTCTAAAATATACATTGTTTTCGTTATTATTACAGATTATGACATTTCTAATAGCAGGACATGAAACCACGAGTGCTTCAACTTGTTGGGCATTGTATTTACTTACAAAATATCCACATGAGCAAGACTTATTGCGTGAAGAATTGGTTAAAGCTTTTCCTGATAAATCAAAATTCAACCCTACATTTGATGAAATTAATTCTTTGGAATATTTGAATTGCATAATTAAAGAAACCTTAAGATTACATTCTCCTGGTATAATTTTTTTTATACAACTTAGTATATTTATAAAATTAACTTATTAACTCAATAATTTTTATTTTAGTACCGATTATTAGTCGAACTAATGTTGAAGATAAAGTTTTCGGAGAATATTTAATTCCGAAGGTATATTTGTAATTTTATATATATATATTATTTGTTATTTCAATTTATTATTTATTGTTATTTATAAATAGAATACCAGAATAATGTTGAACGTTTCGGCACTTCATAAATCACCTGAAATCTGGGGCCCAACAGCTAATGATTTTGATCCAAAAAGGTGGTTAAATCCTTCAATAACTAAAAATGTGACCAATCTAAATTATTTACCTTTCCATACTGGTACAAGATCTTGTATAGGCAATAAATTAGCTTTAACTGAATTCAAGATATTGTTAGGTATGTTAATTAGGAATTTTGTTTTTCAACCAATTGAAGGATTTAACTTTGATGCAAGAAGTCTTACTAATAATAAGCCTAGTCCATATCTTGGATTAAATGTTACTAAAGTTGGGGTTTAACAGGACTTAATTTTTATTTATATTTTTATATCACTTTTTTTATCATACTTCAAAAATTATATTAACGTTTATTTTATTCATTATATTGTTAATTTTAAATTAGTTTTAGATTTGACATAGTATGCATAAATTGTTTATCTTTATATAATGGTCCTAGTTACTTTAGTGAAATAAGAAAACAAGACTATTAAATTATTGTATTAAATAAAACAAAAAATGGCTTAACTGCTTGCTGGTCGTCTTAATAATATTTTGAATATTTAGGCTATGCCTATTAGTTATCGACTTTGATATGAAGTTCTGCAAGGATTTTAGAAAAATATTTTAATAAGTATTATTGAAAATTCAAAATTATTAAATTATTATTATAATACTTTTAATTTCTTGTCTTCTAAACGAATCCAAAAGATATTTTATTTAAGAATGGAATAACATTATTATTTATACCAATTTAAAATTCCAATATTTGTATTCTGCAAAATTCTATCAAATTATGATTTTATTATCAGATTGAGATATTTATTAAAATAATTCCATTGCAAATAATAAGCAAATAATATTTATTGACCAAAGAAATATCACAAATTGATTTTTTTAATAAATATATTTTAATATCATGAATCTAACTGACATAACTCCATTAACTTTATAATGTTAATACATTAATTATTAATAATTTAGTTCTTTATAGTTATTATTCGTCATTCGTAAATTTACATTATCATACATGCTTCGGAAGATTCAAATCGTATAAGATGCAATTACATTATCCAAGATATGAATTATTAATAATTTCCTAGAAATTAATAAAGTAATTTAAATGAATTATGTACTAGGTGTCATATTAAAGCACTACTCGAAAATTAGAAACAGTGAAGAAATTTTAACATCTACAAAGTATTAGCACGTTGGGGGTGCCCAAGTGAGCATCTAACACACACACATTAAAGCCATTAGAGACAATTTATAAGAAATAATTTGAACTAATATTAAATAATGTATATGACGTACAATTCAAAATTATAATCATTTTTATAAGTCGGACAAAATCATACGCCACAGATTACTTCCTTTAAATATTGTTTAGTGATAATAAAGAATATAAAAATAATTAAAATATATTAGTTCTATTGCAATTATTTTTTTAATTTCGTGCCAACATTGTTTTAATCATTTAAACAGTGATATGTTCATATCATAGTAAAGGTTTATTTGTATATAATTCTATTTCAGAAGACAGTAATTTAAGTGATACAATATCAAAAACAAAGGGAGTATCATTAATTCTTTAACTAAGAAAATATTTTTATTATTAGCCGTAATTAAAAAACAATAATTCGGTCTCAAAATATTCATTTTTAAAAAACTTTCTTATTAATATAATTGAATAATTAAATTTATGAAACATAATTGACTTTTTTTAATCTTTTATTTAATTATTAATCATATAAAACTTCTTTCTTTCCGACGCTCACAATCCTGACAAGATTTTACATTATTTGACGTAATAATTTTGTTATACTTTGTAACTATTAATATTCTATCAATACGGCTTTTTTAGATATATATCAGTTGATATGCATCAGTAATTGGTCAATATTACCAAAATTATCTCATTTCGTGATTCGTTTATCACATGACTCTCAAAGATCGCATCTCGAATTTCTATCAAATTAATTTCGATAATATTTCATAAAATTACTAACAATTTATTTGATATTATGCTATATGATTTAATATGATACTAAATTTAAATTACAAATATTACGACTTTATTGTAATTTATTTGTAGAAGTTACTACATCTATTATATACCTAAGTCGTAATAATGAGTAAGATTAATGAGAACATATGCATCATTTATATGTAAATTTAATGATTTATGAGTCATATGATTCATTTATTATTAATCATATTTAATGTAAGCCATATTTGGATAATTAACTAATGATACTGTATGACTAAAAAAAAAAATAAGTATTACAATGAAACATAACAATATAAATATTACAAAATGAATCAGCTTTTATCATTTTAATTTATTATTACAAAAAATAATAAGCTGATTTTTTTAGTTTGTCATTTTTTGTAAGAATAAGTCAAATTGACAAATAATTTATCAAGTTCAAGTCATATCATTTTTTTGCATATTTAAGATGTCTAATTTTTCTTCCAATTTTTGCTTTTCATAAATTCAATTCTACAATTAATAAATTCTACAATATATTAACAAACTAATCATGAGTACAACTGGGAATTATATTGGATTTGAAGAACTTATTTCTTATTTAAATGAATCAAGAAATTTTTCTTACCATGGATTTTTGAAACATAACCGAAATACTATTATTGCTTCATTGACTCAATTAACTAATTCTTCATTAACAACTAATGTTTCATTAACATCAGAAAAATGGAAAAACTTTAATATTACTTGGAATAATCGCTTTTTGGATAATGCAAAAGAATTATTGGATTCACATACTTTTGCTGAATTAAAGAAAAAGGTATGTTTTGTTTTTATTTTGCAAAGGGTGGGTAACTCCATATATTCACCGTGATCACTGTGTGAGAATTACTGGTCTCGTTCGCCCGGTAACCACTCCGGGCTCTCATTCCAGGCGCCCTAACTTTGTTGTTAGTAAAGTCTGCTAGTTCTGGAGGAGGATCTGGCTATGTACCTTCTTTACTACTAAATAAAAATTTAGCATACATTAACAATTGCTTTCTTATAATAGGTAAATACAGAGTACTCACAACGTAAAAAAGATTTGAAAATATTTTGGCAAGAAATTATTAAAGAATATGACAAAAAAAGTCATAAAATTATTAAGGAATATGAAAAAGAAAATACTTTTACTACTATTACACCTCTTTCAAAAAAGCCAAATAAATTTTCTGAAACTTTACAATCAAAAGAAAATAATTTTAACACTGTTAAATCACTTTCTAAAACTTTACAACCAGACATATCTTTACTTTCAAAAAAAACAGGTAAAAGTTCTGTTAAAAATCTTTCTGAAACTCCACAATTAGATTTATCTAAAAATAATATAACATTTATCAATAACTTCTGTTATGATATATTTCATGAACTTGAAAATGAATCTTATGCTAATTTATTTTATAAATATGCTAAAGAAAATGTTAAAAATAAAGTTATAGAATATCCAATGGATCTATTTACTATAAATTCAAAATTAGAAAATAATCAATATACAAGTTTAAAAGAATTTGAAAAAGATATTCGTTTAATATTTTGCAATTGTTATACATATAATGATATTAAAAGTAAAGAATATTGTTCAGGTAGAATATTAGAATCTATTTTTAATGAAAAATGGAATGAAAAAATTATTCTTCATGATAGACAAACAAGAGAACTGAAAAGAGTAAGAGATACTGATACTGATGATACTGATGATACTGATAAATCCTGGAAGAAACAATGTCAAATTTTAGAACAAAATAAAAATAATTTAATATATAGACAGGTTATTAATGATGCACTCCTTNCTGATAAATCCTGGAAGAAACAATGTCAAATTTTAGAACAAAATAAAAATAATTTAATATATAGACAGGTTATTAATGATGCACTTCTTATTGCTTCAGCATATGAAAGTCTTGTTGTAGGTAATATTATACCATTTATTGAAATTTTAAAGACATTTCTATTAACTAGATCAAAAATGTCTTTATCTTCAGCAAATGAATCTATGCTTCAGGCAATTATTGAAAGTCTTCTACCATTAAAATATCGTATTCCAGAGCTTTCATTAGTAATGGATGGCAAAAAGTTAAAGGGATCAGGTCGCTTTGGTTATTCAGATATTTTTGTTTTGAAAGGAATAGGTGATATTTACTATATTAGCTTAGAATTAAAATATATTTCATTTGTTGGTTTAATAAAAAATCATAAAGCTAAATATGGTGCAAATGAATTAGAAAACTTAGATAAAATCCTTGAAAAGGAAATTGAAGAAGATTTACTAAAAAGACCATATACATATTGGTCCAAAGAACATAAAAGAACAAATCAGACAACTATAGGTGAAGTATTTAACAGTGGTATAAGTCAACTTGATTCATATATGAATACAATTTCAAAGGGAAGAGTTGTTGATTATTCTTGTTCAGGAATATTTGATTAACGTGTTAAAATAGTTAAATCAAATCCTAATAAATTAAAAGGATTTGTTATTTTAGTAATTGGTTTTCGTCGTATTTTATGGAAACCTGTTGATGAAGTAATATCTAATTATACATATAATGTAATTTAAGTATTATTTTAGTTTAGCAATCTAAGTGATCCAAATAATAAATTTATGTAAATTGTAAAATTACATCTTATTTCATTACATTTTAAAAAATATAGTTATTTTATTATTCTTCTTAAATTGGATGAGTTTACTATTAGTATATTGTTTGTTAAAAAATTGTGAGGTTTAATACTTTCCAAATAAAGATATAGCAGACAATAAGTATCTGGTATTATATACTACTTTATTTTCAATCCAATTATTTACTTAGTTGTTAATATTAGTAATATTAGAAATTTCAAAACAATTTTCAGTAGGTTAAATTAAAGATTTTGTACTTTTAAATCTATAATACTTTTTGTTGTTAAAGTTGATCAATAAGTATATTTATTTGGAAATAATATATATAATATATATTTAAAATTATTTACCTATATATATTGTATACCATTTGTTATTTGTTATGAATACTATGTAAAGTAAAATTTAGATAACAATAAAGTATTACAAGTACACTAAGAATCAATTATAAGGAAATTTATAAATATCAAACTTTTATATTTAATTAGCTATCAGACTATTTAATTTAATCTACTTCTACTATATTTAATTGCTGATCCATTATCAGTAGGGTATCACCAGAAGGTATTTCTTTTGGTGTATAATATACTAACTCCAAATAATATACAATAAGGTTAAAATTTCAGTTAATATACCAATTTCCTTAATTAAAAATCGTATCTTAAAATTTATTTCCTTTTACTCCTTTTTAGTATTGAGGAGACTTATAATAAATTGCACTTTCATTCCTTGAAGAATAACATTTCTGAAAGTAAATAAAATCATTAAATAAATAATTTGATTTATTTAAGTTTGCAAGTATAACTAATATAATAATGATTTAAAAATAAAATGGCAACTGACTGCTATTCTTAATAAGAAATTTCAACAATAATAATAAAAGCAGAATAAAACAATAATAGTATCTTGGTTATGTTTCAAAAATCTGTGGTAAGACAAATTTCTTGATTCATTTAAATAAGAAACAAGTTCTTTAAATCCAATATAATTTTCAGTTGTACTTATAATTAGTTTGTTAATTTCAAAAAAATATAAGTTTAAAAAAATATAAAGTATTATATATATAAAATATTATAGATTATAGATTGTAGAATTTATAAAAAATCTACAGTTTAAGTTTATTATTTTGTAATAATGGTCAAACTGATAAAAGCTGATTTATAATTATTTTGTTATAATAAATGTTAGAAATATGATCTTACAAATGCATTTGACTTTTGTAAAAAGTTTTAATATTGTCTAGGTCCTTATTGGTAGTACTACAAGTGATGGAATTGATATAACAGTAGTAAAAGTATTTACTTTTGATTGTTTTAGAAAGTTTAATTAACTTTTGAAAGAGATGTAACAGTAGTAATTTTCTGACTTTTTTCGTATTCCTTAATAACTTCTTGCCAAAATATTTGCAAATCTTTTTTATGTTGTACATGCTCTATATTTGCCTATTATAAGAAAGCAGATTGTTAATGGGATGCCAAAATTTTTATTTAGTAGTAAAGAAGGTACATAGCCAGCTCCTCCTCCAGAACTAGCAGACTTTACTAACAACAAAGTAGGGCGCCTGGAATGAGAGCCTGGAGTGGTTACCAGGCGAACGAGACCAGTAATTCTCAAAAAGTGGCCACTATGGATATTAGGAAGTTACCCACCTTTGCAAAATAAAAATAAAACATACCTTTTTTTTTAATCCAGAAAAAGTATTAGAATCCAATAATTCTTTTGCGTTATGCAAAAAGTGATAATATTAAAGTTTTGCTATTTTCTGATATTAATAAAAAATTAGTTAATTGAGATAATAGTATTTTAGTTATGTTTTAAAAATCTGTGGTAAGACAAATTTCTTGATTCATTTAAATAAGAAACAAGTTCTTCTAATCCAATATAATTCTTATAATTAGTTTTGTACTTATAATTAGTTTGTTAATTTCAAAAAAAGATTTGTACTTATAATTAGTTTGTTAATTTCAAAAAAAGATTATAGATTGTAGCAAAGATTTATAAAAAGCAGAAAAGTTAGATATCTTAAATATACAAAAAAATGTTATGTATTATGTATACATTCATTATTATTGCATTAGAAATATTATGAATCATATGACTTATTAGTCATTAAAATTGCATATATGATGCAATATATATCTCCAGAGTTTATCATTTATTATTATTAATCATATTTAATGTGAGGCATATTATGGAAAAATTATGATTTTTATTAGTCTTTGTCAATATTAAGCTTTTTTATGACTAAAAAAAATGAATGATACACAATAAATATTACAAAATAAATTATTAGCTTTTGTCATTTTGACCATTATTACAAAAATAATAAACTATAAACTTTAACTGTTAGTTTGTCATTTTTTGTAATAATAAGTCAAATGACAATTAATTTTGCATCAAATATATCAGTTCAAGTCATATATATTAATAAAATATTTAGAATGTTTCATAATCATAAATTTTTTAAATTGTTTTCTGAAACATTTATAATAACAAAATAATTATAAATCAGCTTTTATAGTTTGACCTATTATTACAAAAATAATAAACTTAAACTGTAGATTTTCAACATAATTCTCAATTGTATTAAAGTTTTATAGATTATAGATTGTAGAATATATTATAGTAGATTGTAGAATTTGTAGGATTTAAAGCACTTGTTTCTTATTTTAAATGAATCAAGAATTTTGTCTTACCATGGATTTTTGAAACCTAATCAAAATACTATTATTGCTTCATTTACTCAATTAACTAAATATCAGAAAAATGGCAAAACTTTAATATTACTTAGAATGATTGCTTTTTGGATAATGCAAAAGAATTATTGGATAACAAATACATTGCTAAATTAAAGAAAAGGTATGTTTTATTTTTATTTTGCAAAGGGTGGATGATTCCATATATTCACCATGATCACTTTGTGAGAATTACACCTGGTAACCACTCCAGGCTCTCATTCCAGATACCCTAACTTTTGTTGTTAGTAAAGTCTGCTAGTTCTGGGGGAGAAGCTGGCTATATATCTTCTTTATTACTAAATAAAAAATTTAGCATACCATTAACAATCTGCTTTCTTTATAATAGGTAAATATGGAACATTTACAACAAAAAAAGATTTGCAAATATTTTGACAAGAAGTAATTAGGGAATAAGAAAAAAGTCAGAAAATTACTACTGCTACATTTCTTTCAAAAGCTAATTAAACTTTCTAAAACAATCAAAAGTAAATACTTTTACTACTGTTACTATATCAATTCCATTACTTATAGTAATACCAATAAGAATCTAGATAATATTAAAACTTTTTGCAAAAGCCAAATGCATTTGTAAGACCATAAGTGATTATGAAATATTTTTAAAACTTAATTGAGATAAAATGGAAAAGAAAACTAGCTATTCTGCTTTTATTAATATTGTTGAAATTTCTTATTAATAATAGTGGTCAGTTGCCATTTATCTTTAAATTTTTTATTATATTAGTTATACTTGCTAATTTAAATAAATCGAATTCTTTATTTAATGGTTTTTATACTTTCATTCTTTGAAGAATAACATTCCTGAAAGTGCAATTTATTATAGTCTCTTCAATACTAAAAAGGAGCAAAAGGAATAAATTTAAAGATACAATTTTAATTAAGGAAATCAGTATATTAACTAAAATTTTAATCTTATTGTATAATTGAAGTTAGTAATATATTATACACTAAAAGAAATACCTTCTGGTGACAGCAATCAAATATATTAGAAGTAATTAAAGGGTTTTAACTGTAGATTGTTTAGATTGATAGTCTGATAGCTAATTAAATATAATAGTTTGATATTTATAAATTTCCTTATAATTGATCCTTAGTGTACTTGTAGTAATTTATTATCATCCAAAGTCTAAATCTTACTTTATACAGAAGTCATAACTGTCACCATTCCAAATATTTCCAAATGGACATAAATATAACAAACCAGTAAATGACAATTTTTTGGTCAACTTTAACAACAAAAAATAATTATAGATTTAAAATTCAAAATCTTTAATTTTGCCTACTGAAATTGTTTTAAAATTTCTAATGTTATTAATATTAACAACTAAGTAAATAATTGAATTGAAAATAAAGTAAAAATCAAATTATTTTACAAAATTGAATTTTATACTATATGAAAATTTAATAAATGAAATAAATGGTTATGATGATTTCTACTATTTTTGAATTACTGTTTCCAAAATAAAAACATAATGTTGGAAATTATTTTAGTTATATATTATATATTTTAATTACATATACTTTAGAGAAAAGTATTTTTTAGCAATACTTCCTTTTAAAGGTTACATTATTTATTTAATATCTATAAATAACTTTTGGACTTATTAGAATTAGCAAAATGACAGGGTAGAAAAGCATATAATTTTTTGTTGTAGAAACGTCATTAACATCACTTTTTCATTTTCTTTTATAAATAACTTACTCTTTATATTATTTTATTATTTAACAAAATATAATTATGAGTACATTCTAAAAATATTTTCAAAAAAAAATAATTTATGACTAATCCAATTATTATACAACTAAAATATTATTATTGTATAATACCAGATACTTATTTATTTACTATATCTTTATTCTGAAAGTATTATTAATACAAACAATATACTGATAGTAAGCTCATCCAGTTTAAGAAATAAAGAAAATAAAATAAGGCGACATAAAGTTAAAAAATTGGTTCTCATATCCCAGCCAGTCCACAAGAGCGGGAATCTTAAATTTTTATTTTTTTTCGTTAACCAATTAAATTGCTCTAAAATATATCACATGATAAATTAAATTTGTATCTGATACTATCTGCTATGTAAATGCCTAACATTTAACGAACAATAAAAAAAAAATTTAAAAAAAACTACAATTGAACATGAGAAATAAACTTGTAATTAACTTGATATATAAAATCTGTCTATGACTTTTTATTGAATTAATTATATTAATATAAATATACATATGAAATCTTCTGTATTACATGATCGGATGAAAAAAAAATTTTATTCAAAAAAAAAAATAAAAAGCCATGCGGCCAGGTTAAATTAAAGCAAATTTTGATATGAGAACCAATTTTTTAACTTTATATCGCCTAACTATATTTTTAAAATGCAATGAAATAAGATGTAATTTTACATAAATTTATTATTTGAATTACTTTAAATTTACTAGTTAAATTGCAAACTAAAATAATGCTTTAAATTATATTTATGTATAATTAGATATTACTTCGTCAACAGGTTTTCATAAAATACAACAAAAACCAATTACTAAGATAATAAATCTTTTTAATTTATTAGGATTTGATTTAACTATTTTGACACATTCATTAAATATTTCTGAGCTAAAATAGAAATGTCTTTAAAGTTTCAATAAATGGTATAATATTACCTACACAAATGGTAATATATAACTTTTGTAATCATCAGAAGCTGAATCATAGAAGACAAAAATCTATAACTAAATTTTTCTAGATTTTCATATGCTAAAGCAACAAGAAGTGCATCATTGATAATCTGCCTATATATTAAATTATTCTTATTTTGTTTTAAATTTGACTGTTTTTTCCAGGATCTATCAGTAGTATCTTACAAAATAAATTGGCATAAGATTTATTTTCAAGTTCATGAAATACATCATAACAAAAGTTATTAATATATAAATACTATATTCTCTTAAATAAATCTAGTTGTGAAGTTTCAGAAAGATTTTAACTTGTCATAATGTAACAAAAGTAAAAGTATTTTCTTTTGATTTTAAAGTTTCAGAAAATTTAATTGGCTTTATTGGAAGAGATGTATCAGTAGTAAAAGTATTTTCTATTTCGCATTCCTTAATAATAATTTTCTGATTTTTTTCACATTCTTTAATAGCCTCCTGTCAAAATATTTGCAAATCTTTTTTATGTTGTAAATATTCTGTAATTACCTATTATAAGAAAGAAAATTGTTAGTGTATGCTAAATTTTTTATTTAGTAGTAAAGAAGGTACATAGCCAGCTCCTCCTCCAGAACTAGCAGACTTTACTAACAACAAAGTAGGGCGCCTGGAATGAGAGCCNGTAAAGAAGGTACATAGCCAGCTCCTCCTCCAGAACTAGCAGACTTTACTAACAACAAAGTAGGGCGCCTGGAATGAGAGCCTGGAGTGGTTACCAAGCGAACGAGACCAGTAATTCTCAAAAAGTGACCACGATGAGTATTAAGGAGTTACCCACCTTTGCAAAATAAAAATAAAACATACCTTTTTCTTTAATTCAGCAAATGTATTTGAATCCAATAATTCTTTTGCCTTATCCAAAAAGTGATTAGCCATTTGGCTGATGTTAATGGAAAATTAGTTAATTGAGTTAATGATGAAGCAATAATAATATTTCAGTTAAGTTTCAAAAATCCATGGTTAGACAAATTTCTTGATTCATTTAAATAAGAAACAAATGCTTCAAATCAATATAATTTTCAGTTGTACTTGTAATTAGTTTGTTAATTCAAAAATATAAAAATATAAAATATTATAGACATAAAGTATTATAATTCAAAAAAAAAATACAAAAATACAAAAATATAAAAATATAAAAATATAAAATATTATAGATATAAAGTATTATATATAGATTATAGAATTTATAGGTTGTAGAATTTGTAATTTATAAAAAGCAAGTTGATAGAAAATTGGACATCTTAAATACAATAAAAATACATGACTTGATCTGATATATTGATGCAAAATTAATTGTCAATATGACCTATTATTACAAAATATTACAAAAAATGACAAATTAAAAATACCTAGTTTATTATTTTTTGTAATAATGGGTGATAAACCAGTTAGTAATAACTAATAATGTTGTAATTTTTTCTTATTGCCAATTATATATTAACATTTATTATAAAAATTCTTATGATATTAACATTAAATAGTATCAATATTTTACATTGTGGATGACAATTCACAGAATATCATTCTAATTCTATTTAAAATTTAATATTAATTTATAAAAGCTAATCTGATATAATAAGATATTATATGTCAAATTTTGCAAATGGTATTATAATCTTTGAAGTATGACATTAGATGGTATATCTTTTAAATTAGAATATACAAATACTTTATTATTAAAACTTTTTTAAGTTGTATCAAAAAACATAATATTTATGTCACTTCTTTTCCATTTAGCACTTTATTTGTTATAATAGATGGAGGCCTCCTTTATATTTTATGTTGAAAGATCATCAAATACCAAATTCTTTATAAAATTTCCTCTTGGAAATACAAAATATAACAACTATTCAACAAAATAGTGTAGATGGTTGGCAATTTCTACTACGCTTTGCTCTTGGTCTACCAAGCCAACAACTACTTTGTTGTTAAAGGTGATTTCATAACTTAAAGGATAACTGATGATAAAGTCACCAAACGGTCGGAGAAATACTGGCGCTACCGGTCTATTTCTGGTTACATTTGTTATGGTAATCCCGGTTGGGATCTGTATGTCATTTGGTGGATTTTCGTTGTCCGTAAAGTATATTCTTCCATGTGGAAAACCAAGAGAGCTTATTCTTAGAATGATGTTTCCACCGAGATCGACACAATATGTGTTGGTATTTGAATAAGAAAATAATCCGGCAAATCTCATTTTAGGCGTAATTTCTGTTTAATTTTGGTACAAAGTAGATAGATAACGTATGAAAGTTAAGTAATTTTTTTTTTTACTTATCTGTTTTTAGATCACACAGATCTCCATCACTTGAATACAACGCTTTACTCAATCAAAGAGTTAGTTCTTACCGTGTTTTTTCCTGTTAACAAGTTAATGAAATATTTTAAAGAAAATACAGAAGAAAGAAACGCGTTGGTAATAATTGTTTGTCAATCCTACGCAATATTTAATAAATGTTTAAGTTAGTTAAAAAATGTTTCTATACAAAAATATATAAATATTATATGCTAACAAAGTACCAACAAATAAATAATCCATATACAAAACCTATAAAACTAATAATAATACTATCTTGACTTGTTTTTATCGTCTATATTAAAAAATACTTTAAAATATGATTATTGGTATATTAAGCGCCTAAAAACAATAATTTACAAATAAATACATGATATATAACTTTAAAATATTAATTATTTTTCTCTAAATATGGCAATAAACGTTTTTCATTAGTACTTACAGTGTCATTATAGCACTATTCAAAGAAAGCGTGATTAAAGTGTGTTCTGTGTCTAAAGTGTGGTCTAAAAGTTAAGCAGTAATATACTGAGTTGCTTTTAGTAAAAAAACTTCAAGTTCAGAGTATACAGTAAAGAGTTTATTTATTAGAACACACAAAAGATTAAGGATGTTTTATTAAAAAAAAAAGTTTCGTGAGAAAAAATTGTGATCGGCGTGGCTTTGAAATAGGTGGAGGTTATTCGGTACTACAGTAGTACAAATTTGCAAATTTGTACGGTACGGTTGATTAAATTTAAAAATTCTGTACCGTACCGTACATATCCTACATATACTACAATATGACATTCAATTGCCCAAATAACCATTATATTAAACGGATGTTAATGCCCAAATAAATAAATAAATAAATAAATACTATAATTAATGGTGTCCAAATAACACATGTAAATGGATATTGCGTGTCCAAATAATCAATACGCCGTTATTTGGACATCAATGTCCATTTAATATATTTATTTAAAAAATTTTATCAACTGTACTGGCTTTATAATATATATATATATACAGTATATTATATATGGCAAATACGGTACGGTACGGAATTTTTGGAATTGTGATCAACCGTACCGTAAAATCGTACCGTTACTGAATATCTTAGAAATTTTTGTCAGATCAGCCATTTTGAAAACGGAGGATGCTTTCCGGATTGCCAAAAAATTTTTGGTGGTTATCAAATATAAAAATTCTTAACGGTGATGGATTATTTGTATACTAACCAGATAAATCATTAAATATTTCAATTGTTTTATTTGATAAAGCTGATAAACTGTATTTACAATTCGATAAAAATTATTTAAATTTTCATATCCAACTTTATACCGTTGTTTTATCACTATTTTTTTTAAATGAATTTAGTTAAATGGGATCGCACCTTTCTAGTATTGTACTGTACATTATTTTATCCAATACTTGTTGACGTTATTAAGAATAAAAAGAAAAAAAAAAGAGAAGAGAAGCGAAGAACAAAGAAGATATTAGAATGATCAATAAGTTTTCATCTATTTCATTTTGAAATGTAAAATACTCCGCTACAGATTTATAAGCCAATTATATTTAATCTTTAATTTAATACTTTTCGTTTAATAATTTAATAATTTACAAAATTTAATAATAAATATAACATATACAGTACTATACATACAAGCATATTATACAACATATAATTAGTTAAACTATAAAATATCTTATACAGTTTAAGATTACAAATATATTTTTTTTTTTGTATATTCATTTGATTTGTTTAATAAATCTTAAATATTTTGTATTTAATAATAATTATTTTAAATAATTTTACAATAGTTAAATATTTTTAATGAAGTATCTTGTTACGCAAGTATAACTCTAAATGATATCTGAGGTTTTCTTTTTGATAAGGAGCAAAAGTTAACTGTTCTTGTCTCACACTCCGTTCAATTTGAATATCATAATAATGTCCGTTCAAGCAATTATTAATCAAAGATGGAGGAACAATTTCACAAGTTATCTGGTAAAATTGATTATTGTAAAGTTGCTTATAAAAGAAAACATATCGATTTTCGATTTCGTTTAATTGTGTGATATAAAATGGATGATTTAATAATCTTAAAATAAGGTCGTTATCGATGTTTTCACATTCAATGTGATAATGGAGAAAATCATCACATGGGTGATAAAAAAATTTTTTAGGATGGGTTTGAATTTGAGAGTTTACAAAAAAGTCGGTCGTTAAAATGTTAGTTGGTGATGTTTGTTGAGGCCCCATTGGCATCGGATCATATTGACTTGTGTCCTGCTGTTGTGGATTAGCGTTCTCTTGTGGTATAAAATCATCAGTTTGAACAAGAGGGATATTATCTTGCTGTGAATCATAAGATTCAGAAGGAGAAGGTTGAAAATCGTCATTTTGACTCATAGTGTGATAGTGTTAATATAAATTTGTAAATTAATATTCATTTATTTATTTTTTTTTGTGAAATTAAGAAAAAAGGAATGTTGTTCGGGTCAGCTATTTATATACATTTTTTTTATATGTAATAGTTAAAATGCAATGCATATTCATGGTGCAATTAATACAAACAGAAATAAAAAGAAAGAATGATAAAAAAAAAAATATATTCACAAAGCGGTGATAACTATAAAAGGAATATCCCGCCAGAGAAGAATATGAAGTTACGTATAATACTTTATATTCAATATATTTGGTAAAGTTCAGATTTTTCCGGTTTTTCCGGTTAAAAATTAATTAAATATAACCAAATAAACAAATAAGGAAGTTATGAAAAAAGTTTTTTTTTTTGACATTTTGTGGGGAAAAATTTATTTTGTGGGGGAATTTTTTTTCTTGAATGACATTGAGGGAAAAAATATTTTTTTTGACAGCATTGTAAAGTTATTACGTCTGATATGCATCTTTTTGCGCCAAATTCGAAAATTCGACTTATTGTGCTTTAATACAAAAATAAATATGATTTTATTAATGTTTAAAACAACGCGTACTTTGCGTAGTAACACCAATTTATTACATAAATAATAGATCCCACTTGTGCTTATGTACGCCATAAGTCATATGAATTGGAATATCATCATTTCACATGTTATTGAACAACGAAATTTATCATATAGAAACTGTATTTGTAATCATTTTAATAATTGTATATATTATTTTTTTTTTTTTCAACTAAATCAAATATGGAACAAAATAAAAGAGATTTATAAAAAAAAAATAAGGTATCAAAATAATACCAAATTGTTTTTATGAACCCTACTGTTATAATTATCAATCTACGTTATCAAAAATAGATTAATATTAAAATATTTCAAAAATAGGAAAAGAAAAGAAAGAGAACTTTTAAAGTAATGAGACAAAGAAAATAAATAAATCAAAATAAGAAGTAAGGACAATAAAACAAGGAGAAATAACAATTATTGTACTTTTATTAATAAAAGAAATCACGTGAACGCTTTCCCCAAGATAGATAATTAATGAAACTCTTGTTCTCTCCGATTTCCGATTTCGGATAAACAAATAAAAACTTCCGCCATTCATCATGATAAACGAAACAGAAATCGATGATTGTGGGGAAAATTTTATACTATATGTCATAGAACGTTTCTATACTTCTGAAATTACTAAAAAGAAAAAATTACCCATAAACCGAACATATTTATTATTTCTTTTTTATTTTCTTTTTTTATGAAAATTAAAGTGTTATTATTAGTAAACACTAAACATTGTTCAACGGTAACTGAACGCGAAAGGAAAAATAAGTATAACAAATGAATTAAAATAGTGAAATTATTAATTATATCAAATTATAGTGTACACTAATGTGAAAAAGTAAAACCGGAAATTTTATAAATATTAAATATTAATTTTTTGTCATCCTGCGATAAAGATTTAAAGTTTTTAAAGCATCCAATCATATTAACGACCTGTCCTGTCACTCCTGTGTTTCATATGAAAATCATTTATTCAAGACATAACATGACCTTATGTGTTACAAACAGAATTTTACTATTATACTGTATGAAAGAAATTAAATAAATATTCATTTAATCCCGAGTGTAAACAGGAATTGTTGTAGTACAATTATCGATAAGTTCGGTTCTATTAATAAAAATTTTCGTTAATTCAGGAATGAAATTTCCTAATTAGAAACCATATTCAAACCACGATTATTGTTATTAAGAAGAATGTTAACCGGATTTTTTTTTCAACATTCCGTCTACAAAACTTAGAAAAAAAAAGAAAAAAAAAAATATCAATTTTTGGTTTAGTCTTTGTGTAAAGAGAAAATTTATTGAGACAATGATTGTATTATATGCAGTTTAACAGCCATCCGTTTGTAATATTGTATTCAAAACCATTAATAGAATATTTTTTTTAAAAAAAAAATTAATAATTAAAAGAATGTTTAATTATCCAATAATGTCAATCCTGTATCTATAAATTGTTTGGAATGGAGTTGATATTCCGCCGAACACTTGACAATTGATTATCTTGATACTATTTTACATTTTGGAAAAATATTTAAACTAAATTGGAAAATTTGATTGATTGATTATCTGTTATCGTATCATTTATAATAAATATCAAATATTTAGTAAATCGTCGATTTCCCAAATTATGCAAGCGTTGACATAAATAATAATAACAAATAAATAAGAAGCATTAACAGCGAAATTCAAAATTTATGTATGTTACACGCAATAATTAATAATCTGTTACATCATCTAAATTACGTCTCAGCGCCAAAGAAGCAAAGTTGATAATCTTATATTGATTGTCATAGGGTTTCGAAAGAACAATATATCAATATAATTATAGTACTATAATGAAATTCATTTCTTTAATTCATAAGATTTGCCAATTTACAAAGTAATTAGATAAAAAATTCATTAGATGTTACACAAACATATTTTGCCGTTTTTTTTTTAAAGTTAGATTAATTAATTAAATATAATAAGCAATCAGTACAATTAAAAGCAATAAAAAAAAATTTTGACATTTTTTGTGTGGGGAAATTGTATGAATAAACATTTTTTTGTGGGGAAATTTCTTTCATTATTTTTCCATTTTTGGTTTTATTTTAAAGTATAATTGCATCGTATGCAAAATAATTTTTACGTCATTATACTTGCTTTCCTTTCATTTTGAATAAAAAAAAAATTGACAATTAACTGACATTTAACGAGAGTTATAAAATGAATAAGAATAAAGAATAATATTGTTTGACATTTAAATCTAAATCCGAAAAAAATAACTCATTTCGGACTGTGCTACCTTCATGTGAAACTCATAGGATTTGTGCTTTATCCCCCACATATTTTTCACCGCCTATGCATGTCATATTGTCATAACAAGATAATAGATAATCATTACAATTATTATTGCATTTTCTGAAAATATTTTTATGGTTTACTTAAAATAATTTATTATAGAATTTTCCTAATTACTATATTACTATTAAAAAAACAAAACAAAAAAGAAATCTTTATTTTTCTTTTTCGAAATACTTGTTACCTTCTATATTTAGGTTTAAAAGAAAATGTGATGTTCAGTTATTGGTCATCCAATAAATATAATATTTTTTTTTTTTTAGAAACCTACAGCAGTAACGTTTATTATTTAATTTCCCTATAAGAAAGAGGAAAAGAAATAGTGTGATATAACCTAAATCTAAAGAATTTTAAATTTTAATCACTGAGATAATATGTGTTAAATCACTATAAAATCTCACTATCACATCTTCACGTCACTTCCATTTTCAAAGTACTGTACTGTATTCCAGGCGTGAGTTTCTAATTGTCACTGCTTATTTGTCACATATTTCGTGACAACAATGTGATAGCCTAATATTTAGAATATTGCGTATAATGAGTGTAAGTGTGTAACGAGTCACTAATAATCGTTCGGCGTTACGCAGCTTATGATCACTAAAAATTTTATAGTAAATCAAAACTTTATCATAATAGCGTTAAAATTACATATGAAATCTTATAACTTTTTTGGTAATAATTTAGTTATATAACATATTTATATTACTTAGTACACACAAAAAAAAATTATGATTTATTAAAAAAAAAAAAAAGTTTCGTATGTGAGAAAAATTGTCAGATCAACCATTTTGAAAATGGCAATAAATTCCCATACTATTCGGATTACTCCAAATATAAATTTTCTTAACGGTGACGGATTATTTTATCTGTATACTAACCAGGTTTATTTTGATAATACTGATAAACTGTATTTAATAATTCGATAAAAATTATTTAAATATTCATATCCAACTTTATACTATCTGCTATTATTTTATCACTATTTCCTTTATATGAATTCAGTAGTTAAATGTGATCCCTCCTTTCTAGCATCGTACTTTATCCAATACTTGGTGACGTCATTAATAATAAAAGAAAGAAAAGAGAAGAACAAAGAAACTATACATAAATATAAATAAATACTAAGAATGATAAAAGTGATAATGATGCTAATGCACGTCCAAAAATTAACCTCTGAATAATGAAGGAGCGTATCCTAAATCAAGATATTATTCCTTCTTTTTTCTTTTTTCCTTTCTATTTTTATTCAAGGAAATGGAATTTAAAGTGTTATTATTAGTAAAGATTGTTTAATGGTAACACGAAAGAAAATAAGATGTGCAAATGAATTAAAAATAGTGAAATTATTAATTATCAGATAAACCATACGTTAATAATGTGTATATGAAATTTATAATAAAATATATAAAGTATGAATTTTGATAAAAATTTAAAGTTTTTACAACATCCAATCATGTCCTATCACTCCATACTAGTTTCATATGAAAATCATTTTTTCAAGACATAACATGACCTCATGCGTTACGTGCTACAAATCAATGTTAACGAAAAGAATTTTAATATTAATATGAACAAACATAAACAAAGTTTTTTGTAGTACCCATTGTACGTTATCGATAGAGATATCTGGTTGTGTTCCAAAATAGAGTTAACCCAGAGAATTTGATTAGAATTCCAAATATAGAAACTGGAATCGGTGAATATTGGATTTCACCCGATGGGAATAATTTACGTCCTTACGGTATCTGTATTAAGAAACTCGAGTAATTATTTTAAATTAACCTTTTTTTTATATATATATAAAATCTTTAATATATTTAAATAAATTTATTTATCACACTGGTTTATTATTTTTTTGTACTAAACATTTGCAGTGAAGATTCTCAGAACGCGGTTAATTGATAAAGTTGGATTAAAAATAATAAATTTAACTTATCTACATACAATTTCTTTGAATTATCCCCTCATCTGTAACGCAGGCAAAATTTGCTTGCGAACTTTTTGAATTTAAATTACTATATATTAAGCATATTAAAATATGGCAAAATTGGCATATCATTGCACAACCCTTCATCTATAATGCATCCAATTTTGAAAATTTAAATTTTATGTGATAAGCAAAAATTAGCAATAAATTATTATCGCAAATATCTCGCAGGCAAATTTGCATGCGAAATTTTTAAATTGGTTTATGAATCTCTTTACTTAAATTTTTATGTAAAAGTCATTGAAATATTTATTTACGAGCATGCAGGGAATTATGATTTTGTGTTATGTATTATAAAATTGCAGGCAAATTTGCCTGGGAATCTTATGATCTTTGGCAATTTTTCGTAACACCCAAAATTCCATTAGTAATGTAACGGACTATACTAGTACTATACTTTTGATGAAAGTAAATTATTTTAAATTTTTTTTTTCTGGAAAACTAAGCCCTAGATGGCCGCCTTAGCCATTTTTATTTTTTATTTTTTATTTTTTTATCATTACTTTATTATTTCATTTATCTTTTTTTTTTTTATGTCACTTGTAAAGTAGATGTTATAATATCACTAATTGAGAAAATGTTGATACAAGTTTGGAGAAATTTCTTGGAATAGATTAATAAAGTCGGAATACAAATTATATTGTATTCTTTTTTATTGATTAAATCATATAACAAAATTATAAATCATAACCTGTTCACAAAACACAAATAACAAGTCAGGTAATTTATATAATAGATATAGATAATTGATTTGATTTCAAATATTTTTATACAGAAAATTAAACTATTTGTTTTTCTACTTAATAAGAAAAATACCTTCTGTTATCTAAACTACAGGATATATTACTAGAACAAACACAATTACTTCTGTGAATTCTTCCAATAGTAATCAATCATCTGATTTATTATTCCCAGAAACATTTATCATAAACTATAGTCAAATTAAAAGATTCTTTAATAGCAAGACCACCAGCTTTTAAATGCATATGTATATCGTTACAATATATCCCATTTACCCAGCCATCCCACCAAAAAAATGGTCCATTATGAAGTGTACCACCCTCTGTATGTACAGAGAGTTTATATCCTATTGACCAATTTGCTGGAGATGTCTTTGATGAAGGGCCTCCAACTGGTATGTCGCATTCATCCGATATCTCATTTTGATGATAATCGTACCAATGAATGCATATTTTATTTATAGCCTCAATATATCCTCGAGTATTAAACGCTACTCTATGTTGGGGATATGAATAGGAAATATTGATAACAGATAATAAAATTATCAATAATCCTAAATTTTGTACGAACATCATAATTAATAAATATTACTTTTTTATAAGTAAATTAATATTTTACCATACGACTCTAACTCTCAACTTATAATAAAATTTTGGCCTATATATACAGAAATTCATTATTAAGTCATGTGACATAAATTATCATAATAAAAAGTCTTGGCATTAATTGTAACGTTTTACCCCTTGTAATAGTCTTAGATTCACTACTCTTTTAGAAATAAAATAAATAAATTAATAACGCCCTATAAAAAATTTTATCCGTTATTTCTGTAAAAACTCCGTGAAAATGAGCCTTT